CTGCAAGTGCAAAGGTCTTGGGGCAAGATGGAACTTGGAAAGTTCTAGGAATAGGAAAAAGCCAGAATGCCTGGAAAATGTATGAGATGAGTGAGGATTTTGGATTTTTAAAAAATATATTTTTATTGATTTTTTTTTTTTTAAGAGAGAGAGGAAGGGAGAAGGAGAGAGAGAGAAACATAGATGTGAGAATTAAACATGACATTGATCTGGCAACCTTTCAGTGCATGGGACCACACCCAACCAATTGAGCCACACTGGCCAGGGCAGGATTTTGGATTTTATTCTGGGTGCAATGGGATGCCATTTTAAGGATCCAAGCAGGAAATTAGTTTAAGATCATGCCAGTTACTGGGTGAAGAATGGATGAGGGATGGATAGAACAGAAGCAGAAATACCAATTAGGAAGCTGTTGCAGGCTATGGGAGAAAAATATTATAAGCCTGTCTTTAGAAAGAAAAAATAGAAGTCAAATGTGAGCTTCCATTTTAATAAAGGAATCAGTTTTTCTCTGTAAAATACTTTGCTGGCTGGATATGTTCAGCTAGGGCAGTGGTTCTCAAAGTGTGGTCCCTGGAACAACAGCATTGGCACTACCTGGAAACTTGTTAGAAATGCAAATTCTCAGTCCCCCCAGGCCCCAGGAAAACTGAATGGGAAACTCTAGGAATGAGGCTCAGCATCCTGTTTTTATTAAGGCTTCCAGGTGATTCTGATGCATACTCAAATTTGAGAAGCACTGAGCTAAGAAGAGTCTCAGGCAAACACTTTTATTTGCACAATGGTGCAATCCATCTAAGGAAGAACCTTCTTTCAATATTTGTAGAGCATTATTTAAATAATTATATGTCATAAAACAATAATCAATGAGAAAATGAATTATAAAGGCTCTAATCCTAGAGCCATATGCAGATTTAACCTTCTGCAAAGCACCTTGAAATGCTGAATAACAAGTATCCCTTTGAACATATAGCTGACTCATGAAAAAATAAGAAAATTCCCAGGGGCTAAAAGTGAAATAATTGAAAAGGTGATAAACTTGTGAGCTGATTTTGTGGCTCTGGGGATGGAGCTGAGAGTTGGTGGTTAATGGAGCTGGTGTGTCAGCAATCTACAGCCTTAGGTTTTCTTTTTTTTTTTTAAACACCATAATAATTTATATTAACATAGACAATTACATTTTACAAAGCACCTTTATGTAAATGATTTTGTCCACTGAAGATAATATGTATTAGAAGCTGTAATTTGGTAAGATGCTACATTAGTTTTAAAAGGCTTTGGAAGGAAGTGGCTTTTTTATTGGACTTCAACAGATGGGAAGAAAATAGTTTCACAAAGTATTTTTTTTTGTTAATCCTCACCTGAGGATATTTTCTCCATTGATTTTTTTAGAGAGTGGACAGGGAGAGACAGAGAGAAACATCGATGTGAGAGAGACATATCAATTGGTTGCCTCCTGCATGCACCCCGATGGCGACTGGGGATTGAGCTTGCAACTGAGGTACATGCCCTTGACAACAATCAAACCTGCGGCCCTTCAGTCTGAGAACTGATGCTCTAACCACTGAGCCAAACGGACTAGGGCCACAAAGTACTTTTTAATCAGTGTAGCCTGAACTCCCCCATGACCATATTGTACTTGTTTTATTATCACTGTCAAAATAGATGTGTATGTCTTCTTTGGGTATTGGATATTAATGCCTATATAGGGAGAAGAGATGATACCCTGAGGTATCAATAAAAAGATGGGATCTTGACAGAGCTAGACCAATAGGAAGACGGTAGGCTAGAAAAAAATTATACACTTGTCTCAATTTGTGTCCTGGATGGGAAGACAAATACATAAAAACAAAACATTGCTGAGACATCATAATCATACATACTGCATGATTCCATTTATATGAAGTGATCTAACAAGACAAATCTATAGAGAAAATAGGTTAGTGGTTGCCTAAAATGAGGAATGGAATTGACGGCACATGTGAATGAGGGATCTCCAATGGAGAAGTCCTAAAACCAGATCATGGTGGTGCTTGCACAGCTGAATAAATTTACTAAAAGTCATTGAATCATATGCTTAAAATACATGAATTTTATGGTATGTATATTGTGCCTTGATAAAGATGCTGAAAAGCAAAGCTAACATTTTCGTCGTCGTCGTTGTTAATCCTTACTAGAAGATATTTTTTCCATTGATTTTTTTTTAGAGAGCATGGAAGAGAGGGGGGAGAGAGAGATTGATGTGAGAGAGACACATCAATCGGTTGCTTCCTGTACACACCCCAGCATGCAACTCAGGTACATGTCCTTGACCAGGAATCGAACCCATGACACTTTGGTCCATGGGCCAAAGATCTAACCGCTGAGCAACACTGGCCAGGGCTGATTTAACTTTTTAAAAGATCACTTTTTCCAAGGGCTAGAAAAAAGAAAAATGGGAATGACGTTTTAATGGGTACGGGGTTTCCTTTTGCGGTGATAATATGTCCTGGAACTAGACAGTGGTGATGGTTGCATAACATTGTGAATGTATTGTCTCTGGATTGTACACTTAAAAAAACAACAACAGCCCTTTAATTTTTTTTTACAATTATCATCTCTTACTTACAATTATTGTCACAACTAGCATCACTCTTAGAGAATAGAAGAGTTGAGGAATGCTTTAGTTTATTCCCTCTTATTTTAAGAAAGATGGAACCAAGACCAAGGAAAGATCAAGTTGACCTACCAGTGTCACACAGCTCACTGTTGCTGAGTGGGGACAATGCCTACATCTCCCAACCCGAAGTCCAGTTTCCTTCCCACATACCTGGCCCTGCCTAAGGACAGAACTAGGTCTCCTCCAGGATGCCTGAAATGGCCTATTGTTCCTGTCTCTTGGAGTCTTGAATGGTTACTGTTTTCTTCCTCTTAGGAAGTTCCAGAACCCCATTATCCACCTCCAACACTCTACTGTGATTCTTCCCAGTCTGAATTCCACGGCATCACAAAGAGCTCCAAACACTTTACCAGCACCAATGAAGAGTCTTACAGAGGAATCCACTGACCACACTGATTGGAGCACGTGAGCATGCAGAGCCCATAGGCTGGCTAGCAGGGAGAGGGATGGGAGAAAATATTCTGACAGAGGTTTGCTACTTTGTTTTACTTTTTTCATTATTATTTTTTATTGAATTTATTGGCGTGACATTGGTTAATAAAATTATGCAGGTCTCAGGTGTACAATTCTATAACACATCATCTGTATATTGTTGTGTGTTCACCATGAATTGTACACTTTAAAATGATAAAGTTTTTGAGTGTTTTATAACAGTAGAAAGATTTTATCAATTGACATAAATAAAACAGCAATAGAGTTTACTGTGCATCTTTTTCTAGATGATTTTTAAAATCTTTTTATTTTGAAGTAACTATAGGCACATAAGAAATTGAAAAAAATAGCTCTGGCCACTGTGGTTCAGTGGTTAGAGTGTCGGCCTGAGCCCCAAAGGATCTCAGGTTCAATTCCCAATCAAGGGCACATGCCTGGGTTGCAGGTTCAATCCCCAACCCCTGTTGGGGGCCCGTGTGGGGGGCAACCAATCAATGTGTCTCTCTCACATTGATGTTTCTCTCTCTTTCTCTCCCTCCCTCTTTCCCCAACCTCCCCTTCCACTCTCTAAAAAAATCAATGGAAAAAATATCCTTGGGTGAGGAATAACAGAAATAAAAAAAAATAAAGAAATTGCAAAAATAGTAAGGAGAGGTCCCATGTACCCATCACTCAGTTTCTCTCTCTTTCTTTTAATCCTCAATGAAGGATATTTTCCATTGATTTTAGAGAGAGGAAGGAAGAGGAAGAGAAACATTGATGTGCAAGAGAAACATCAAGTGTTTCCCTCCCATAAGTGCCCCGACCAGGGATCAAACCCACAACCTAGGTATGTGCCGTGGCAGGGAATCGAACCTGCGATCTGTTTTTGGTGTATGGGACGATGCTCAGTTTCTCTTAATGGTAGCATCTTACCATATAGTACCAATAATACATTATCCAAACCAGGAAACTGACATAGCAACAATTAACTGGACTATAGGCTTTACTCAGATTTTTTGGTGAATTGTTTTAAAAGCTATAAAATACCCTGCTAGGATTGAATTAAGGAGTGAGAGTGGAGATGAAGAGAGGGCAGTTTGGAAATAGAAGCAAGTGGATTAAAAATGGATTTGGAAATCAGAGGAGCGGGAGAAATCTCCCTCTGTCTTCAGCAGCTGGGTGAATGGTAGGACCAGTTAGAGACAGAGCAGTCTTGGGAAGGAATTGGTTTAAAGGGAAAAATCTGAGTTCAGTCCCAGGCTTTTTAGTGTGAGAGGTCTCTGAGACATCTTAGTAGAAGTTCATAGCTGTAGGATATACGGTCTAGAGAGGAGAAGGGAGGTCTGAGCCGGCTCCACAATTAGAGAGATCACACATAAACAGGGTTTAAATTCCCTCTCAGCTCTGTTCGTGTATCCCAAAATGTTCATTAAATGGTTCTAAGTCTTCTGGATGCAGAAGTAACGAAGACAAAGTCGGTCCCTGTCTTTGTGGCTTTTATGTTCAATGTAGGCAGCTTGTGTATTACAGACTGGAGAGGGTGGTGGCTTTGCCCAGGCAGGCAAAGGAGGGAGGTCACAATGTGTACTTTGTGATGAGATCTATGATATATCTGTGTGGCAGATGGACCCCACTGAGAGCCAAGCTTTCCTCCTGCGGGGAAGATACAGGACATACCATATATTATCTTTCTGCTCCCGCACCTTCCATCCGAGGCCCAGTTAAAGTCCTATTTGGAGGTGAGCAAGTGGGTAAGGAGGCAGAAGAGGGGGCCTGGGAGGAGGCATGGCGTGAAGGGTTGGGGAGCCATGGAGGCCAATGGGACAGAGGCCTCCAGGCTGTTTGTGGGCTTATTCCTTTCTTCTCCCTGACCCTGGCAGGGAAGCCAGTCTGCTGCCTGCCCTGGAAGCCATTGCCTAGGCCAGACATGAGGTGCATGTGGCAGATTTTTGTCCTATGGGTCTTCTGGGTGCTCATCTTGTGCCTGATGGTCCCTTGCCTGGATCGGAAACCAGAACCAGCACCCCAGGAAAAACTGACGTATTTGGTACCATGGCGTGGCAACTGCCTTTGGTTCAAGTTCAGGAAGTGTGGCTGCCCATCTGGGTCTCTCAACTACTCCCTCTGCCACCACACAGTCAGAGAACAGAACTGGTTTGATGCATGCTATGAGAAGACCATGGGGTACCTGATGAGAACAACAGAGTCCGTGACCCCCGATGCTGTGCTTTGGTGGTTGGTCAGTGGTTAACACTGGGCCTGACTCCTCCCTTGTCCTTCCCAGGCCTAGCCCATCTCCCACTTTCCAGCCCAAACCCCTACCCTTGGCCCTGGCTTAGTGCACCTCCCATTGTCAGAGCCTCAGCCCCTGACCTCTGGATGGAGCTCTCACCCACCTGGGTCTGCTTTCCTTCCACCCGGAGCTGACATCTGAGTCCTAGCCCTCAGTCTTCTCCCTCTGGCTGTTTCCAGGGCATGAACTCAGCAAGTGAGCTGGGCAAAGTGTGGGAGAAACTGTTCAAGGTGATCGCCAGACCCTCAGTGAGCCATAATGATCTGTACTGTGGGACGTGTGTGCTGGTGGGGAACTCAAAGGTCCTGCGGGCTTCTGGCCTCAGCAACAATGTCACCCAACACACCACAGTTTTCCGGTGGGTGTTGAGGAGAGGGCAGGGAGCAGGGGTTCCAGACCTGCCCCCAGAGTTCTGCCAGTTTCTGTTCTCCTTCCTAGGACGAGCCAGGCCCCTGTTCAGGGCTTTAAGATGGTAGGGAACCAAACCACGGGACGCTTCACCTGCCGCAGGAATGTTGGGGTCCAGGGATCCTGGAGACAGCTGCTGCTGCTGCTCCTGAAGCTTTCTGGTCTGGCATGGACTTCAGATGCTCTGAGTCAGGAGGTGAAGTTCTGGGAACTTAGGCATTCTTAGCATGGAGGTGAGGGGAGGTCAGTGCAGGGTAACTTACTAAGGACAGCTGCAGGACATTCCAGGTCCCAGGGGCTGCTGAACTCTCCACCTCCTAATTCTTTCTTAGATTTTGGAAGAAGATCTAGTTCCCTAGTGCAGTGGAAGATAGCACAGACCAGGTAAGGGGATGGGATGGCTGTGGGCTGCTGTGGGAAGGGCCCCAGGTAGGGCCCCTGCCCCTTCTTCCCCAGGTCCTTGAGATCAGCCCCACCTTCCTCAGATACAACCAGGGCAATAGGCTGCATAACCAGGGTCAGTATCCATCCCCAGGGCTCATGGCTCTGTTCCGTGCCTTATCCATCTGTGAGCCAGTTAAGTGTCTTTTCCCTTCCTCACTTAAAACTTCTCACCCCTACGCCTTCAGCATAGAGCCTAAAACTTTCTGCCTGGCTTTCAGGACCCTGCACGACCTGACTCCTCCCCTCCTCCCAGGCTCACACACTGGGCTTCTTGGCATTCCCTAAACATACCAGCTGCCTCGTGCCTTCTCACACACTGCTCCTTCTGCCTGGAATGTCCTTCCCTTGTCTCCCTGGGGAATCCTCTCTCCCCAATATGAGGAGCAGCTAGTTGACGCTCTCTTTTCTGGGCTCTGGAGTCACTCTGTGTGTTCAGAGTCTGTCTTCCCTGGAGAAGGTGAGCTTCATTCTCCTCCCAGTTCCAGGAGGCAGCCTGTCACATTCGATGCTGAATAAGGGGAGGTGGGACAAGGATAGGATTCAGTTCATTAACACATACATTCATCTCTCATTCACCAGGATGCCCGCTTTGGATTTGTATCAGAGAAGCAAGGAAAGTGGGAGGATATTAATCAGAACATGCATAGCACAGAAACAGAAATGGAAGTCAGCAAGAATGTGTGGTGGGCAAGCTCACCCTCCACAGCTGATGCCCTGCAGAGTCCACACAAGTCCTAGTCCTTCGGTCCTGAAAACAGGAAAGTCTTGGGACTGTAACAGCAACAGCAGGACTACGAGGACTTTCAGGGATAAAGGGCAAGAGGAACTGTGTAGACATTAGTTGGGCACTGAATAAAATCCTGGTCTGATTTTCTTACCTGTGAGGACAGTGTCAGGAGAAGAAAGGCCAGACTCGATTTCCAGATCTCAGGGGCAATATTTACATGACTTTCTCTGCCTACGCCCTTGGATCATGCAGATGTGTAAATTTAGACCCAACCTCATAAAAATTGCAAGCCTAGACTGAGTTCTTGGGGAGGCTTTTTTCCAATGGAATGAAAGAGATGAGCCTCCGCATTTCATCCTATGCCGGAGGGTGACTTTTTTCTACCTCAGCTTTTCACTGAAGGCTCAGCTCTTTGAGATTCCCAGTGTTTTGCTCCAATTCTCTGCCTCTCCTGTGCTCAAGGGTCCTCTGCCCATATGGGCATCCCACTCCTAAATTCCAAGGCAGCCACTCAGGCAGCTCGAGCACTCCCCATGCTGTTTTCCATTTCTCTTTTTATTTCTGGCATCTGGATACTTCCTGTTTTTCTTCCTCTGCTCAGCATTTAAAATAGTTTTTAGTAAAAACTATGTATATGCTTATACATTTTCCAGTTAACTTAGGAAGGATACAAAGACATTAGGAATAGCAAGCAGTTGCCTCTGGGGAGGAGGCTGGGTAGGTAGAGAACTAGGCGGGGGGTGGATTCTTTCTTTTCATATATTTTTGTACCTTTTGGCCTGTGTACCACAGACCCATATTATACATTCAAAAATAAACACAATTTAAAAAGTTAATACTATGTTTTGACCAGCAGTTCTGAATTTTTTGTAGTAAGAGCGTTTTTAGATTATCTTTTAATTCATTATTTTGCTAGAACTGGACGTAAAACTAAGTCTTCATAGGTCTTCATAGCTCTACTGCAGTTCTATGAGCTGGGTGAGTATGTGATAAGGCCAGTGAGTTCCATGGGCAGCCACTCATTGCCTTATTGCTGTGGGAAACAGTTTGGCAATTCACAGAAAGTTAAACAGAATTACCATATGAGCCAGCAATTCCACTCTTAGGTAGATACCCAAGAGAAATGAAAACATATGTCCACATAGAAACTTGTACACAAATGTTTATAGCAACACTACTCACAATAGCCAAAAGTGGAAACTACCCAAATGCCTATCAATGGATGAATGGATAAACAAACTGTGGTTTATCTATACAATGGAACATTATTCAGCCATTAAAAGGAGCAGAGTTTTAATCCATACTGCAACTTGGAAGAACTTCAAAAACATTACTCTTAGTGAAGAAGTCAGACACAAAAAATCACATATGATTCCTTTTATATGATCTATTCAGAAAAGGCAAAGGCATAGACATAGCAGATTAGTGGTTACCAAGGGTTGGGGCAGGAGAGAATGGTGAGTCATTATTTGATGGTTGGTCAGTGCTTAACACTGGGCCTGACTTCTCTCTTGTCCTTCCCAGGCCTAGCCCATCTCCCACTTTCCAGCCCAAACCCCTACCCTTGGCCCTGGATTAGTGCACCTCCCATCATCTGGATGGAGCTCTCACCCACCTGGGTCTGCTTTCCTTCTACCTGGAGCTGATACCTGGGTCCTAGCCCTCAGTCTTCTCCCTTCGGCTATTTCCAGGGCATGAACTCAAGTGAGCTGGGCAGAGTGGGAAAAGCTGTTCAAGGTGATCGCCAGACCCTCAGTGAGCCATAATGATCTGTACTGTGGGACGTGTGTGCTGGTGGGGAAATTGAAGATCCTGAGGGCTTCTGGCCTCAGCAACAACGTCACCCAGCACACCACAGTCTGGGCCGCTGCTGGAATGACTGGAATTGCTAAGACAGCTAGGCCTCTCTCTCCATGCAATATTTTGTCCTAGACTTCTTCATGTGATGGTGGAAGCACTACAAGAGAGGGAGACTGGAAGTTGAAGACCTTTCAAAGTCAAGGCTTTGTAGTCACACAGTGTCACTCCTGCAGCATTGTATTGGTCAGATCAAGTCACAAAACAATCCTAGATTCAAAAAGTGAGGAAATAGACTTCTCTTCCTGATGGAAGGAGCTGGAAAGAATTTGTGGCCATATTTGAACTACCATAGTATCCCAGTGTCAAGAGTCAGGTTGTGATGGCAACAGTGGTGATATTCCTGGAGTAGTCATTGGCTATGCCTTGCCTCCCTTAGTTATAGCCTCAGTCTGGTTCTCTGGCTTTCCATCTATTCTGTAAACTGTTGGATATTTATTTATTTATTTATTTAACATATCTTTATCGATTTCAGAGAGAGAAAAGGAGGGGGGAGAGAAAGAGATAGAAACATCAATGACGAGAGAGTCATTGATCGGCTGCCTAGCCCGCAGCCTGGGCATGTGCCCTGACCGGGAATCGAACCCCGATCTCCTGGGTCCTAGGTCAATGCTCAACCGCTGAGCCACGCCCGGCCGGGCAACTGTTGGATATTTAAACAGTGAGTTGCCTTTCTGCTTAAGTTTACCAGCGTCTGTGTCTATTTCTGAGACCAAGAATTCCAACTACTACAGTTAACAAGGATCAAAAAGCATACTCTTGCCCTAGCCAATTTGGCATAGTGGTTAGAGTGTCAGCCCTCTGACTGAAGGGTCTCGGGTTTGATTCCAGTCAAGGGCACGTACCTGGGTTGCAGGCTCAATCCCTGGCCTGAGCGGGGTGTGTTCAGGAGGCAACCAATCAATGTGTCTCTCTCACATTGATGTCCCTCCCCTCCCCTCCCCTCCCCTCC